TGTTAATCCAAACCACAATAGCTGAAAATATTTTGTCCACTTAAAGTTGACCTCAACTTTTATGATATGATAAAATAGACCATTCATAAATTTAAGTTGCCATTTTGCCTCACATTGGGTGTGGTCTTTAGTGTACAGAACTCAGTTACATCCAGATGACAGAGAAAAAAATTAAATACATATAAATATATACATAAGTAAATGTAGCACAGCATTTTCTAGTATGGCACTTGGACAAATGATCAAACTGCATTGGCAGTGAGGTAGTTGGCTCTTTCAAAACAGTCCAGCAACATTCTCTAGGATCAGGAGGTCCACATTAGCACGTTTGCGCTGACATGCGGTCAAGAAAAAGTAAAGAATGTACTAGCACTAAAAGCTGAAGGAGTTATCTTACATTTTAATAGTAAAAATAATAAAGTAGGTATTTTAAGATCCTCTAAATTTGGCAAAGCTTCATATTTATTTGTTCATTGAGCCTCACAAAATTCACCATAAGGCAGATCCTAGAGTACCAATTCCTGAGATTTAGAACACTTTTAAGATCTAATGACTACTAATTAACTAACTAGTAGTCATTAACTCCTACCATCACCTTATTGTACCTCACACGCAAACCAAACCAAACTCATTGCCATCAAGTAACTTGCCACACATAGCTGACCTATAGGGCAGAACTGCTCCTGTCAGGGGTGTCGGATGGAGACCATATGTCAATCTTCAGAAGCCTTTCTTCCTCCGAGCGGCTGGTGTTTTCCACTCATATGCTCAACTGGTAAGCCAATACCCCTCCAGGACTTACTGTCCCCCAGAGTATTAATAAAAAAAACAAAACACTAATCTGCTTGCCTAACATTAACTATTTTAAGACAGTCAATTACCTTACAGATTTTTTTTATTGTGGTTTGGGTGAAAAGCCACAGACTAAATTGTTTTCCTTTCAACAATTTATACACATTTTGTTTCAGAACATTAGTTACAATTTGATCAACTGTAACAGCAGTCTTCCAATTTCCTCCCTGGATTCCCCTTTCCTATTCCTTCTTTCCTGTCTTTTCTGCAGTCTGAGCTTTGTTTCGGGGCAAGTGTTCTAGAAGGGTTGATTTTTCTGAGGAATACTAGTGCTACCTTTCACTTTCTGGGTCTGTCTGTTGTTTGGCTCAAAGGTGATGGGGGTGGTAGGTTTTGATGCCAGGATTTGAAGGGCATCTAGCGGTCTGTCTTGGGGTTCCACCCATCTCTTGGACCACGAGGCTGGTCTTTTTAATATTTTATTCTACATTTTCTCTCACTCTGTCTAAGGTTGTCTACTGTTGTCTCAAGGGTTGTGAGAAAGACACAAACATGTGGTGAGCTCTTCTTAACTCAAATTCACTGCCATTCGTCGATTCCAACTCACCTCAACCCTGCAAGACAGAGTGGAACTGCCCCGTTGGGCTTTCCACGAATTTTATATCCTCACAGTAGACAGCCTCATCTTTCTCCCTCAGAGCACCTGGGGAGTTCTGATCACTGACCTTATGGTTAGCAGATCAATAATGCATAATCCACTACACGACTAGAGCTCCTGGTTGTTATCATTTTAAGGAGAACATGAAAGCCGAATTCTGGTAGTTTCCCTAACTCTTACTGTGAAAACCAATTAAAACGCTACACATACACATATACAAACTCGGATTTGTTTACACACTAACGCAAACAGACAAGGTGTCCCACTGTACACTCAGCACTTTGGGGCACAAAGGGGCAATATGTACATTTAAGTTGCTCCTCAATCTGAAATTTGAGGCCTTCAAAGGCCTAAAGAAATGTGAAAGCACTAAAGCAGGCTACATTTTGAAGAGGTTAAAAAACGATGCTTTGCCAAAGCCATCGCTTATATCCATAAATATACTAGTCTGGGGATTAATCATGTTTTCACCCCCAGATAGCCTTTGGATTAAATTGTTAGAAAACCTGGAATGGAAAAGTGGGGGTGGGAGTGTACGGATTTAAGAAGGGTGTATCTCTCGATCTCAATAGGCTTTATGCAACCTGAGTAGTGGTTCAGAGCCTGAGGTAATCAAACAGACCTATATTTGAATCCGCACTGAACCTTACTGGATGAGTTTAGGCAAATGATTCAAACTCTATGCCTATTTTCTCATCTGTAACATGAAGATTACGTTCATTGCCTATAGAATGCAAACCACAGTGCCTACACATTTTTTAAATAGTCATCGGTAACTTATTTGCGAAAACCACTCCTGATAGGCTCAAGTAATGTGAATCAAAGATAAAAAGAAATTGAGGGCTGTAGAAGTAACTCTGAAAATACCCTCTTCGTTCCTATGTGCTGAGAATGGGGAGCGGAAAGTGACACCCCGACGAGCCTGCTTCCAGCCGCGAGCGGCTGCAGGAGAACACCGATGGGCGTGCGCGCAGGCAAACGAGCTCGGCGGCACCACCCTCTGCTCCCGGGGCTGGGTGGATGGTGGATGGAGGCCCTCGGCGGCGCTGGCCCAGGTCAGGCAGGAAACATGCTCCTGGGGCGATCCCGGGTCCCACCAACCTGGCCCATTCTGCTCAGTGCCCACAATTCCCTCGGGAGACCCCCGCACTCACTTCCTCACCTCCACCAGCCTGCAATTCCCAGGAACAAAGTGGATGGAGAGTTCTTTCTCCCTCCCCACCATCTCTGCCGTCTTTGGGCCGCCAGCGCCACAGCCGTCCACGGTGGCTCCAGCTCCAGATCCCGCCGGGCCGCAGTTCCTTCCGCCTCGGCCCGCCTCTCATAGGCTTAGGCCGGCCCCCGCTGGCCGCTTCCGGCTTCCGCCGTCACTGCCTCGTCCATTGATTGGTCACGCTTGGTGGACGCCCCAGAAGGGGGAGGGGCATGTACGGGACGCGTCCAACCCACGCGCCGACTCTTAAAGTGATACATAGCAGTTAAGGGCTTAAGTAAACAGTTGGTTCAATTTTGAAGGGAAGAGGCATGCTTTTATTTTTAATTCCTTGGTTGGGAAAGGGTTGAATTTTGGCAGAGCCGAATCGGGGTTTCAAGTTTGCAAAGCTTGCGCAGTACCTGAGAATCAACTGCGCATGCAATTAATACTGTAGAATAAAACATCGAAAAGGCATGGGAGAGGAGAGCACAGGGACTGCGGCGCCCGGACATTTATCTCTACAATACAGGTACTTTTGACAGACTCGGGGGGAGGGGGGGAGGGCGGGGGTGTGTGTGGAGAAACAACAACAAGGAATAAAAATAAAAGTGTTGGCCCTGAGTCATTAACACTTCAGAGATCCACTTGTCTTTCCAGGATGTTAATTTTAAAAGTAGCTTGTGTGAAATTTCATCAAGGTCAAGCAATTACTCACACACCTATCTACTTATATTTTCTCTTCCAGTAGATTTTAACTAGTTGAAAAATAAAAAAGGTGAGGAGGAGGGAGTCTTGGGATACCTCTTCAAAACGCATTCTTGGGCCTTGCCCCAGATTTTCAGAATGAGAATCTTTCATTTTAGCGGATTTCTGCTGGCTTAATGGTTTTGCGTGGGGCCGCGGGCGGTCTGCAAGGTTAGCAGTTCGAAACCACTAGCCCACCTAAGGAACACAGTTGGGCCTTTCTATTTCTGTTTACAGTTGAGTCCTGGCAACTCAAAGGGACAGTTGTCCCTGCCTATAGGTTCGCTGTGACTGACTGACTCCTGAGAAAGTAGCGTTTCGAAATTAACAATTAGTAAACTTTCGAAATTAACAATTAGTAAACAAGAGCCTGGAGAATGCACCAAGTTTTTCCCACCCAGTTTAAACCAATAGGGAAGGGATTTCCCGCCGGGAAACTTATAAGAAGAAAGCAAAGCAAAATGAAAACGTAGACTGTCACCGCACAATCAGAGCGTTGCAGTCCTGAGACAGAGATCCCAAAATCGCCCACAAAAGTAACCACCGCTTGGATTTTTCTTAGGAGGCATTGTTTGCTTTTTGGTTTATTTTAGAGCTGAAGATTGAGCATCGTTCTCAAAAAGAAGTTTCTCTACGTCTAAATCCTGTTCCTACCCAACCCGCAACAAGAGCCCATCCATTTCCTTATTCTGTAAAAACCTAGTTGCTTAGGGGCAGTAACAGAAGAGTGTGATGTCTCCTCATGTTTAGATTTAAAAAAATAATCCAGGTTGTTCTTGCTAATGAATTTAGCATTACTTTAGGAGCGCACTATAAAGTGGCCCAGAACTACAAGCACGCGATCATCAGTCGGCCAAGCGAAGTGGGGAGGAGGGAATAAAATGCTCTTGACTCTTCCTCTCGAACACTGAGGATTTTGTTTTTAAGTTTCTATTGCAACGTATAATTCAACCTTACCTTTCTAGGCAAACAAAACATTAAATGTTCAACATGAAGATGATTTAAGGACATGGAAACCACAAGCATTGTAATTATAAATGCAGCCATGTCCAGAGTTGAGGAACAAAGAGTTTGCCTGCATTTAAAATCCGAATTTGGATACTTGCCAGGTAAAAGTTGGGCATAGTTTTAAACGCACATACCCGTTTGGTTTTTTATCCTCTTTAATGATGAAAGGTAAGAAGTAAATAAAACGCAATTGTTATACATACAATACCCTAGTCTGTGGCCTAAGCCTACAACTTTGAAAGAGAAGGAAAAGTTAAATTGGCGAACTTAATTCAAACCAAGGCTAGAGGATGCATGAACAACTAAATCAGAGTTTACAGAGAACCTTCACAAGCTGCGTCGCACGCAGGCTAAGTAAATACAACTGCTGTTCTGTTTTGCTGCTTTCTTTTTTTAAGTACAGTAATGTGCTGCTTTGCTGAGATCGCCATAATCTGGTAAACAATTGAAATTGGCCCGTTCTGTGACAGCGATTTATTTCTGTTTCTGCTTTGTGAAGCCGTTTTCTTAAGCAGCCCTTTTGTTTTTGGCAAGAGTGCACTGGGGTCCTTTTAAAGCACTCTAATTCAAGAGTGCTTCCTTTCTGGAGTATCTGGCTCCTACCTGCTCCATGTCCTCCGGCATTTCAGGCATGATTCCAGAATTATTTCAGGGAAGCCAAATTCAGTTGACTCCAGGCGTGCGACTGCCTCCTCGCATGCGGTCTTTGTCTGCTGCTGCCGCTGCTGCCGCCGCCGCCCAAAGCGCGTTCAACTGAAAAGCTGCCGCTTGACTTGACCTTTTGGATTAGCATTTTTATTCCCATCCCAGAACCTCGTGCAGTGTTCCGCATTGTAGTAAACTGGCAGCTGATTCCCTGCAGCAGTCTTGGAAATACCCAATGAGAAGTTTCATGTTTAATTGCCTGCCAGCTAAGGTTCACTAACAGAACCATAGAAGCAATGTATCAAAAGAAAACAGAGCAACAAAATCTTCCAGTCAAGACTTGTTGCATTTTCTTTTGCAGAAGAAAAGCAGGAATCAGCAGTTGGGAAGCACAGCAACAATGCAAATGATTGTTTTCTTCTATTATTATAATATGTTAAACTAAATTCTATAATACTTTAAGCTCCCCAACTCCACCCACCTTGACCCTACCCCAAAAAACAAACAAAACACTGCCTTGAGTCAGTTTGACTCAAAATAATCCTATTAGGGGCTCCCAGATTATAAATCCCTATAGGAGCAGAAAATCTCATTTTCAGCCTTCCAAATTGGTGGTGGGTTTGAACTTTGCAGTTAGCAACCCAATATATACTCTAGGTGCCATCAGGGCCCCACATGCTGCTTTTAAAATAACTAGACAACAAACAAGATCTAGTCACAACTATTTTTAAGCCTTTAAATAGAATTTGTAAATGAATTGGAACAGATGCACACTGTTCTTATTTAGCCTGGTGGCATTGTAAGTTAAGTCTTGGGCCTTACACCCCAAGGTCAACAGTTCGAAACTGTACAGGTCTCCTCAAGAAAAGTGGAGGCTTTCTGATCCCATCAAGATTTACAGCCACAGAAACCCTGAGGGTCGATATGGACCTGATAGTAGAGAGTTTGTATTTTTGGTATTGGTGAAGTCAAAGGCTCATAGTCTTTTAATCATTAAAAGCAGTGCTATCCTCAAGTGAAGTTGATTGTGATAAAGGGATTAGACATTGAACTGCTAACAAGATCAGCAATTTGAAACCACATCATGGAGAAAGATGAGACAGTCTGAACTCTAAGGGGCAGTTAAGTTCTGTTCTATCGGGTCACTATGAGTCAGAACCAATTCAATAGAAGTGTCTTGGAGCTAGCTGTTGGTTCAATAGTTTCAAAATGAGGGCAAATTTACAAATTGTTAAAGGTCAAATAGGAGTTACCATAAGTGTAGGTTTTATAACCTAGGAATTGCCTGTAATGCAAACACTGAAAAATGACTAAGCAGTTTTTGTAACGTTAAACATACATCTATTCCAAGAAGAAGTAATTTCTTTGGCACATGTTTAGCCACATACTTAGACATGTTATCAGGAGACCAAACTCCACCAAACCAGACTCACTGCCATCAAATGGATTCCAAGTCACAGCAACCCTAAAGGACTGAGTAGAGCTACCCCTATGGGTTTCTGAGACTGTAAATCTTTATGGGAGTAGGAAGCTACCTCTTTCTCCTGGTGGATTCGAACTGCTGACATTGTGGTTAGCAGCCCGAACTTTCCCTAGGGTTTTCTGAGACTGCAAATGTTTATGGGAGTAGAAAGGCTGATCATGCGCCTTTGGAGCTGCTGATAGTTTCAAACTTCTGAGCTTGAGGTTTATGGCCCAATGCATAACCTACTTTACTACCAACGCCAGTCACCTAAAAGGGACATCATGCTTGGCAAAGTAGAAGGGCAGGGAGAAAGAGGGACACTCTCAATGAGATGGATTGACATGGTGGCTCCACTAATGGGCTCAAACATAACAACACTTGTGAAGTTGGCACAGTAGCAGTGTTTCACTCTATGGTACATGTGGGCACTATGACTCAGGACAACTTGGCACACTTAACGAGAACATGATTAGTCAAGGGAAAAGAAACTATACATACCCAAACACACAAGAATATTCATATCAGATTAATTCAAAAATAGCCTAAGAACTGGAAACCATTCAAACATTCATCAACAAGTATATTTATACTCAATTTTACTCATTTGTAAAAGAGCCCATCGCTGTTAGCATAGTGGTTATATGTTGGACTACTAACCACAGGATCAACAGTTTGAAGCCACCAGCCGCTCCATGGGACATGAGTGAGGCTTTCTACTCCTGACGGTTACTGTCTCAGAAACTCACAGGGGCAGTTCTACCTTGCCCTATAAGGTCACACTATGGGTCAAAATCAACTCAATGGGCAGTTAGTTTTGAATAAGAGCTATAATATAATACTATAAATGAGTAGCTTAATAAACAGGAATTTATTTTATCTCAGCATAGGCCAGAAGTCTGAATTCAGAGAGCCAGTTCTTGAGTAAGGCTTTCTATTTTGGCATTGAGAGAAAGTCTTTGCCTCCTTGCAACAGGGGTGGACCCACCATTCCATAGAGATTTGCATGTGTCTTGGCATCACACTTCCCTTGAGTCTAAGGGGTTTCCAGCAAAGAGGTCCAGGTCTAAAGACACTATATTAGTCTGGGTAGACTAGAGAAACAAATTCATAGACACTCATTGAATATTGAGAAAACATCCCAGCCCAGTCCAGATTAAGTCCATAAATACCCTATTAGCCCATATGTCCAATATTAATCTATAAATTCCTCTTCAGACTCATGCAACACATGCTATAAAACAAAATGCAGGAAGATCACAGGCCAGTGGGTGGGAAGTCTTGTGGATCCAGTGATGGTAGAGGCATCACAGCTCTGGCAGGGGTCTCCCTGTGACTCCTTCAGCTCCAGGGCTGTAGGATATCTCCATGTGTCTTGTCAGCAAGCATGTATGGCAGGGAGTGAGTGTGTGTCCCGCCTCCATTAAGCTATTTATCTCCTTAGTGCCTCCAAATGAGGTCATCAAGCTGTGACCTGATTGACAGGCTAACCCCACCCCATTCAGTCTTAAGTCTCAAATTGACAACAGATTATGTAACTACCGCAGACACATTCCATTCCTAGTTCTTCTTTCTTGGGAATAGTAGCTTCCTTGATATCTGCTCAATTGTTTAATCTATATTACATATAAAAAAAAGGCTTGTCTCGCTAGGGAGTATTATAGCACCAACGAAGCACACAACATTACTCTAATTGGTTTAATGCTTCCCCCCCTCTGACTATTATGACCCCAGTTCTACCTTACAAATCTGGGTAGACCAGAGCATGTACAGAACAGATAAGAGCTCTCCACACATATAATATAATCCAAGAGAGATAAACCCCTCAGAAACAAGAATGTGAGTAGCCATACCATTAGGGGTTGGGGAGGTGGAGAGAAAAGGGGAACCAATCGCAATGATCAACGTATAACACCCCACCCCCCACCCCAAGGGGGACGAGCAACAGAAATTGGAGTGAATAGTGACAGTGGATGGTGTAAGATATGAAAATAATTTATAATTTACCAAGGGGTCATGAGTATGGGAGGGTGGGGGCAGGAGGGAAAAAGGAGGAGCTGATACCAAGGGCTCAAGTAGAAAGAAAATGTTTTGACAATGATTATGGCAACATATGTACAAATATGCTTGATATAATTGATGTATGGTTTGTTATAAGGGCTGTGAGAGACCCCAATAAAATGATTTTTTTTAAAAGATTGACTCAAGGTATAGTGTAATCCTATTGATTATATTTTGCCTTATTAGCCTAGGTGATTACATCAGATTACAAAATGGAGGATATTAATTACATAATTCAGAGTATCATGGCCTCACCCAATTGATACATAGTTTCGGCAAATATAATTTAATCTATAACATTACCTGTGCCTCAAAAAAATAAAAAAAATAGCTGAATGTTATTTTAAGATCGGGAAAGTATTAAAGCCACCTTCTCTTGTAATAGATTGCAGTGCATCTAGCTGAGAAAATTAGACTTGGAAAATCAGGTGACTCTTAAAGGACTATTGAAAGAGACTTCAGTGTCAACTAAAACCTTCGCCACAAAGGTCAATTCCTCATAGCAGAGACCCACAACACGCAAATGCTGGATCATTCTCTTACACTGTCACCAGTTAGGGGTTGGGGGCATCCTCTATTTTAGTAATTGAGTGTTCAGCAGCGAGAAGAGAGCTTTAGGGGAAGGGTTCCAGGGATCATGAAGGAAGGAGGGAATCTTAAATGCTGGTTCATCATTTCATCAGCATTAAGGACAGGCACCCTCTCGAGGCTGAGGGGTATTGTCAGTTGATAGGGCCGCACTGGGCTGGGCGTGGTCTTCAGAGCCTCAGCCTCTGACCACCATGAGGCCTTTCCTTCCTAGTCTTGACACAAACGCTAACCTTGCATATTTCCTTGGGAGCTGCCATTCCAAAACCTGGGAGGCTTAAAAAAAAGTTCAAAATTCCTTATCCCATATCCACCTCCAATACCTCAGAGCTCAAAATTCTCTCAGAAGTATATCTCATTCATACCAGGGCTGAATTTTGAATGGTCTCAATTTTCTCACACATACTTTTCTTTTAGAGAAAGTCAGAACCTTTTCTTCTTTTAATTTTATGGAAAATGAACTGCGTGGACTACTCACCCATGTAGTGCTTGGCATATACCCTTGCTTGTCATTGTTTAAATCTGATGTACTTTCATCCCTGTATTCCTCACAGAGCGATTGGCTTCGAAATCCATGATTATCTTTCTTGCTAGACTATAAACTGTATGAGAGTAAGGATTGCCTTGTATGGTGAAGTGAAATCTCTTAATAGCTATCCATATCTCAGCAATTCTGATGGCGTAATAGTAATACATTGGGCTGCTAATTGCAAGGTCAGCAGTTTGAAACCAGTTGATCTGAGGGAGAATAACAGGGCTTTCTACTCCCATAGAGTCTCAGACACTCGCAGGGGCATTTCTGTCCTCTCCTATAGGGTCATTATGAATTAACATCAACTCGATGGTAGGAAGTTTGTTTTTTTATTCATTTCTTTGCTAATTCAATCAAATGATTGGGTGGGCCTATGAAAATAGGATGTGTGAAACACAAATAGAAGGGATTGGTCTGTTTCAGTTGTGACTCCCCTTGATTTAAGAATGAGCCATCTCACTTATCCCACACGATTACTGAAGTCAAAATGGGTGCATGAGCAAATATGAAGAGAGCTGATGATGCCCGCCTATTGAAAGATATAGCGTCTGGGGTATTAAAGGCTTGAAGTTAAACAAGTGGCCATGTAGCAGGGAAGTAACAAAGCCCATCTGGAAGAAGCACACCAGCCTAGGATCAGGTATCAGAAGACCCCCAACAAACAAATATATCCATGCAAATGATGGGGTTGGAGTGGAAACCCAAAGCCCATCTGTAGCCAATTGGACATTCCCTTACAGAAGCGTCACAAGAAAGGGACAAGTCAATAAAGGTGCAGTATAGCACTGATGAAACACACAACATTCTTTTCTTTAACACTTCCTCCCCCTCCACTATCAGGATCCCCGTCCTAACCTCACAAATCCAGCTAGAGCAGAGCATGTATATTGGTATAGATAAGAGCTCTGGACACACAGATAAACCCCTCAGGAACAATAATGGGAGTAATGATACCATGCGGGAAGGAAGGGGGAACTGATTGCAAAGACTGAACTGACCCCCCCACCCACAACCCCACCCCCCACCAGGGAACGAAAAACAAAAATATGGGTGAAGGGAGACAGCAGACAGTGTAAGATATGAAAATAATAATAATTTATCAAGGGTTCATAAGGATGGGAGGGTGGAGAAGGAGAGAAAAAAGAGGAGCTGATACATACCAAGGGCTCAAGTAGAAAGAAAATGTTTTGAAAATCATGATGGCAACATATGCACAAATGTGCTTGATGCAATTGATGTGTGGATTGTTGTGAGAGCCCCCAACAGAATGATTAAAAACATGAAAAAAGAATGAGCCACCTCAGAAGCAGGTATAGAAAACTCTCAGTATCAGCTAGAAAGAAGAGCCACTAATAGAGCATGTTTTAAGATCTCTCCTTGCCCGTGTAGTAGCAGTAGTAGAGGTCATGCCATACCAAAACCAAGGGCAATCACCATAACCTTCTCCGTTGACCTCTTTACCTTGGATTTAACTAGCCCAACAGAGTTCCTTACAACCACAGATTTTATTGGATTTTCTTCTTCTTCCTCTTCAAGACACCTTAAGGAGACGAAGACACTTGTATTACTGAGAACATGTTATCGAGGAGGAACTGGTCATGGAAAAAGGACATTATACTTGGTAAAGTTGAGAGTCAGCATAAGAGGCGTATTGATACACTGGCTACCAAAAATAGGCTTCAACGTGACAGCTATAAGGATGATACAGGGTGAGGTAGTGTTTCATCCTGTTGTACATAGGTGACTCGATTGGATGACCCCGAACCAACTAAAGGAGGAAAATGAGAGTCATCCCAATACACAGAAGAAGCAACTGCCACAATCCAACACCCATTCCAAAACTCTCTGGAGTAAAAATAGAAGGAAACTCCCTTTACCTATAAAGGCATGTCTATGAAACATCGAGAAGTGAAACTGTACATAACATCAAGAAGTGAAACTGTCTTTAGTCACAAATAACGATTACATATATAGAAAATCTGATGGACAGCGACACAAAAAAAACTACTAGAATAAAATTCATTCAGCAGTGTTATAGGATACAAGATCAATGTGCACAAATTAGTTGTCCATTTCATATTTCTTCTTAAATTTGAAGACATGGTGTTCAAATCTTGCATATTCTG